CCCCAGACATGCTGGACTCCATCTGAGCCCAACACATTTATCTTCATCTGACCAAAGGCTGTTCTCCCAACATTCATCGGGTGATTTTTGATGTTCTGTAACAAAGTTCTGTGAACTGCAATAAGTTTTTTTTCTCTATTGTCCTCTGTCCATAAAGGTTGATGATCTGAAGTGTCCTTCACACTTTCTGAGCTTCAGAGAAACTCTGACTTCTACTGATAACCCTGATGCTAAGTCTGAAGCAGCTGCTGTCTATTTTCCACAGCTAGATTTTGAAAGTAGTTTACTGTCTGTGGAGTCATTTTTGGAGAAAGATTCATTTAATATGCTTCAAATAGATGTAGGCTTGTGCCGATTTAGAATTAATTCAGGTTAAGGCCAGTGTTATACTTTCCACATTATCCACAAGTACGCAAGGGTCTGCATGACATCAAGTTTGCATAAACCCCTCAGCACATATCTGTGGGCAGCAGACTTTAGTTTGTGTTGAATAATGTAGTAATAAGAGGCAGTCACTTGGACTGCAGGTAGGGCATTGTGTTGGTTTAACTAGCAAAGGATGGCCATGACAAAGACTTCTGTGGCTGGTTAGTAGCTTCTAGCCAGAACTTACATATTCAAAACAGGACAGGACAGTGTCCCTATAGCCAAATGACCAATGTAATCAAACATTAATAAAACAGAGTCAACAACAACATGTCCGCGGGTGTCCACAGCTGTCGGTGTCCGCGTTGGGTTTGGCGTGTAATGTGGTGTTTTGGGTGCTGTCGAACCGGAGTCGAGGACCTAGTCTTGTCTTTTTCTCAGGGGTTAAGGGCAGGATCAAGCTCAGACTGCTGTTATCCCTAACAGTCTTTGATCATAAACGATAGCAGAGTCCACTGGCTGGTTTCACGCTTTCCATGTTTGGCAAGTGCAAGAAGATCTGTGTGATGTAAATTTTGTCATCTTCCCAATCCTGCAAGTTCCCACATTGACCCTTGCACACATGTCAACATGGAGGTTAAAATTTGTGTCCGCGCAGCCACTGAGTGACACGAGGGTAATGTGCATGTACGGAATAGGTAGATATAACCTACCGGGCATGTATGGAACATAGTCTTGCATGCTGATGCCAATGGACTAGGAAAGTCACATAATAATAAAAGCCATGTCCATGGGCGCATCCGCAAGGGAATAGAATTAAGACTGAAGGGGGTCGCAGCTTCGAGTGGGGTGGAAGACATCTGTTAGGCCTTAGTCTTAGTGCTTCATTGCCACCTTTGCACAGCTGTACCTCAGAGACATGGTGTCAGATTTGGCTTCTCGTTCTGTGCTGAGAGACGGGGATGTTGGAGAGTGGGCCCCTCGTTACACAACAATGGGACCCCGAGGTGGGTTGTGCCCAAGTTGAGGAGCTAGACTTAGTTTTCGTTTTTTTTCTTAGTGGTCAAGGTCAGGGTCCATCTTGGTCTGCGTTACTCTCTCACAGCCTTTGATGATACCCAAAAGGTATAGGTTAGGGTGCAAAAAACAGTGGCTGTAACTTCAGTTCCATGGGTAGGTTCATAGTCCTCTCACTGTAGGCCCAGCTGGTAATGTCTATTAACTTTGTGGAAAGTTTCCAATAAACTATAAGATCCCTGACATCCTTCGGAAATCAGTATAATGAGGTGACGTTGCCGCTGTGGGCGTCAGCCGACTTGAAAATGTTCTGGGCAGCGGAGTGTGAGCTCAGTGAGGAGGAAGTCTGACCGCAGAAGCACAATGTCGTACACTGCTCACTGTGCACACCATGTCAAGCAGGGGACGGTAAGATTAGGGGAACTGTCTCAGCTGTTCTCTTCATGATGAATTTCTTCACTGTTCAACTTTTAATGTGATCAATGTTTTCACAGCAGGAGAAAAGTTTATAGATCGAGTTTTACGACAACAAAATGTAACTGGCTGAAATAATTTTCTCCTATGAACAGTGTTATCGAACAACAAAATCATGAGAAACTACACACAGGTTTCATTTTTCACACTGAGTGCCTATTTTGACACTGGGATTTTAAAATACTTAATTTTCACGTTTCTTATGTCTCTGTATGTTTTAACCATCAGTGCCAATGTGTTTCTCATCGTGGTCATCTGCATGAACAGAAGCCTACACGAGCCCATGTACATGTTTCTGGTCAGCCTGTTCACTAACGAGCTGTTTGGTAGTTCAGGGTTTTTTCCATTCCTGCTGATTCAGATCCTCTCTGACGTTCACACAGTTCCTGCTGTATTTTGCTTCCTGCAGATTTTTGTATTATTCTGCTACGGCACTGTAGAAATTCTAATCCTGGCCGTGATGTCGTATGACAGATATCTTGCCATCTGTTATCCTCTGCAATATAACACCCTGATGACATTTCAGAGAATCCTCGTGCTTATCGCCGTAACGTGGGCTTATCCTCTGCTGGTGTGCGTGGTGATGACATGTCTGAGTACATCCTTGCAGCTCTGTGGGAAAATCATTAACAAAGTGTACTGTGACAACTACTCTGTTGTTCGACTGGCCTGCTCCGACGTCACGGGCAACAGCATCTATGGAATCTTTATTTCTGTACTCTCAATATTTGGCCCTCTCATGTTAATCCTCTACACCTACATGAGGATCCTTAAAGTGTGTTTTTCTGGCAGCAAACAGACCAGACAGAAAGCCGTCAGCACCTGCACACCTCACCTGGTGTCCCTCATCAACTTCTCCTGTGGGGCTTTCTTTGAAATAGTACAGAGCAGGTTTAACATGAACAGTCTGCCCAATATTCTGAGAATATTCCTGTCAATGTACTGGCTCACCTGTCAGCCATTCTTCAACGCTCTGCTGTACGGCCTGAACCTGTCCAAAATCCGTATCATAAGTAAAAGCCTTGTATTTGCCAAAATGTAGGCCACTTTTGTGACTCCCAGGCACTGAAAACACATTTAAACATCTAAAATAAGATTTCTTTGTGCACTGGACAAGCTCATTCCATAAGTCACATGTTTCTGTTTTGATAAGTTTCCTCAAAGTAAAAATGCACATTTTCTGATAAGCTCCAAATAAATCTCTTTCTCAGATGTGTGTTTTCATAATTTAGTTCTGATGTTTGTTGGTGATTATTATTGTATTTAAAGTCCTCGTACTTCGAGATCTCACACATTCTCGCAAACTCTGATTGTACAACCTCATATGAAGCCCTACGTTTAATGTGTTCATCTCTTTACTGTTGCAGCTGGTGCTGTTCAGTTTTTAAGCATATCCCTGCATCAATGATGATACTAACAGATCAGAATTCATTTGATGATGATGCAAAGTTCAATGTGCATCTAAGTCAGTAAATAAATGTGGTGGAGTATAAAGCACAATATTTTTCAGAATTGTAATCAAGGAGGTTTCAAAAGTTGCAGAAAATGGAGCTACTCAAGTACAAGTATCTTAAAATTGTACTTAGAGTACTTGAGTGAAAGTACTTTAAATGACTGGAGAAAAGTTGAATTAATCCAATTAAACAAATCAAAAATAGTGCAGACCAGCTAAATAAAGTGCACACACACTCTATAGAGCTACTGAAACTGACTAAGATGGCAGAAAAATACAAGATATAAGAAAAAACATGTATAAGATAAACAATAAAAATGAAAAGGATTTGTAATTAAGTGGATAAATGTGCTGGCAGTTCAGATCGGACTTTATAACATTAAACAGATTTATTAAACTTTAACTAGCTTTGCTGCTTCAATCAAAGGTATGAATACTAATTTAATGGTTGGTGGCACCAATATAAGTATTTAAGTTGATTAGGTTGTTCTAAATAGTTTTCCACGTTTTCTAAAAGATTTTTTTGTGTGTGTGTGTTATGGACTTAATTACCATAATTAAGAACAAAAGTTTTTGAGTTGACTGATGTTTAAAAACTTAATATATAGGTTAAACTGATTCACAAATTGTAAAAAAACGTGGAAGGTCCCGTCTAGCTGAGGAAATTTGCCACATTAAACCTTATCACTCTTATTTGCCACACTGAAAAGTCGGTTAAATGTTAAATATGACTATCATTAGCTACACGCAGTAGTATTGCATATTCCATTAACTGTACTAGCACAGCCCAGTGGGCCCAACTGGAATTTGGGGTTGGGTGCTATGCCAACCAGGCAGCGGGACGTGTCACCCCCTGATGGTATAGACTAGTTATAGGGACATGGAGCCTCACCCGATGTGGGAGGGGGGTAATTGGGAGGAACGGCCTGCCTGATCTGAACCCAAGAGTGGTTCTGTTATTGGACTTGTGTGCTAGTCATGAATTGGCCACAATGAACACCATGTTCGATCATAAGGTGGCTCATAAGTGCACCTGCTACCAGAGCATCTTAGGCCAACTTTGTCGTCCCGTCATCAGACCTGCAGTCGTATTTCTCAAAAAGAGCTGCCAACTATAATTCTACAGTTTCATTCAGCAGACGCTTTTATCCAAAGAGACGTACATCTGAGACTAGATACAACACAAGCAAGGATCTAGTTAGTAGAAAACAACCTGCATAAGTCACATAAAACAAATGTGATAGGACCTTGGTACCTACAGGCAGTGCAGGAGGGATTAGGAATTTTTTATTTATTTTTTATTTTTTTGCTTTTCACAGTGCAAAGGTGTTCAGCGAAGAGCTGGTTCTTTAGTCTTTCCTTAAAGACGAACAGGGACTCTGCAGATTGAACAGAGTTTGGTAACTCATTCCACCACCGGGGAACCACAGAGGAGAAGAGTCTAGCTATCAACCTTGGGCCCTGTTTTGGTGGTTTTATTAGGCGCCTTTTGTTGGTCGAGCGTAGTGAACGGGAGGAGAGAGTTCAGGTAGGACT